TCTTGGGGTAACTTCCTGTAAGCATACAACAGAAATGGCAACAACTCATCCCAACTTTGGCCCCTTTTCTTGGCATACATTTCCAGCATAGATTTTAGGGTCCCATTAAACCTTTCTACCAACCCATTGGCCTGGGGGTGATAAGGGGCAGCCTTAAGTTGTTTCACGCCACACACCTTTCATAGCTCGTTGAATATCTGCAATAAAGTTTGCGCCCCGATCAGACAAAATCTCCTTAGGGAAGCCCACTCTGCTGAATATAGTGAGAAGGGCTCTTGCTGCTGTCTCAGCTTCTATATTAGACAGAGCAGCCACCTCAGGGTATCTAGTGGAAAAATCCACCATCACTAAAATATACTTGTTCCCCCTCCCAGTGGGGTGTGACATAGGACCCACAATGTCCATTGCCATTCTCAGGAATGCCTCCTGTATGACAGGTAAGGGATGCTGGAGAGCTTTCTGGGGTTCTACAGGTTTCCCCCCCCCTTCTCTTGACACACCACACAAGACCTGCAATAATCTCTCACATTATTCTGTATTCCTGGCCAGTAGATATCCCTCCTTAGCCTGTCATAAGTCCCCTGGACCCCCAACTGATCAGCAAAGGGACCATCATGCGCTACCAGCATTAATTCCCCTTGGTGCTGGCTTGGTACAACCAGCTGCTTACAGGGTTGCCCAGAGGCTCTGTTCTTTCCCACAGGATCCTCTCTATATAGTTTTCCAGCCTTTTCAAAAAACTTCTTCCCACCCCCCACCCCATCCCTTCCTGGAGTTCCCTCTAGGACACACTTCCTTATACTCTCTAGAGAGGCATCTGCCTTTTGCTTTGCTGCAAATTCCTGACAGCTAATACTTGGCATAACTCCCTCAGTCATTGATACTCCGCACCTGGCCCTGGGGACTTGTTGCTTTCAGTTGGGCAGAGGCCTGACTCCACCTCTCCCACACTTGGAAGCATGCTGCCACCCTGCACTGCAGTGCCAAGGGAACTGTCACCCACCTCCTCTGTGGATTCTAAGGTTCCAACACCCTTCTCTGGACTCCTCCCTGAGATACACACCTCCATGCTCTCTAGATCAGGATCTATCCCTTGTTTAGCTGTGTCAGACTTGCAGCCACCCGCTGGAACAGGCAATACAATGACAGGCAATACACTCTCCTCCCCCTTTGAGGACCCTGCACAATACTCCTCCTTCCTGTGAGTTACCACACCAACAGTCTTGGCCTTGTGGAAAAAATCGTTCCTTACCAACATGTCCACCAGGATGTCCTCTAGCATCCCCACCAGTAAACCGCCTTCCAAACCTTCCCATTCCACACAAATTTTCGCTAGTGGCATGGGAAACCTGTCTGGCCCCACCCTCTTAATGCTGGCCATTGGGCCTGGTAAAATACTAGCCTCTGGGACCAACTTGGTTGAACCAGAGAGGGCTGGGCCCCAGTATCCCTCCATCCCAGGCACACTGTGCCATCAATCTTGATAACCTTAATGTGTTCCCTGTCTGGTTCACCAGGCCCTGTATCCACCAAGCTGGTATGGTAAGTCGTGGGCGTACCCTCCGGGGCCTCGGACAACCGAGCCAATATGGGTCAAGGGAGGTTTATTTTCCGTCAATTTGGGGCAGTTATGTATCAGGTGCTCTGTAGAATTATAGTGGAAGGACCTTCTAGGGTCTCCTGATTTTAAGGGTGGTTCGGGATGGGTATAGGAGGTAGGAGTGCCCCACCTCCTAGTCACCCTCCCTTTTCCCAGAAGCGGTGACCTTGCTTCCCACCAAACTTAAACTCCTCTGCCTGTGATTTATTTCTAATAGCTGCTTGGGACTGTTCAAATTCATCCACAAAAGTAGCAAGTTTGACAGTTTTTACCCTCTTATCCCATAAACACTGTTTTACATCATCACGACACATATTCAGGAAATGCTCCTGAGCAACAAGATCACACATTTCTTCAAAGCTTGAAATATATCTTTCCCCCTTACCCACTTATCCATCAAATCTCTCATTTGGTTTACATATGACACATTACTCATTCCAGCCTCTCTCTTAAGGCTTCTAAATTTCACTCTACAAGTTTCAAGGTTAATCTGAAACTGCTTTAAAACCGTTTCCTTGAATTTACCATAATTTGAAGAATCACCCATTGGCGTCTTATTGAATATATCCAGAGTTCTCCCAGACAACTTTGCAACCAAAGTGGTCATCTTTTGATCATCAGGAATCTCATGGAGCACACACAGCCTCTCAAAGGTGATGGAATAGTCAGCAATGTCCCCTGTCTCACTGTATGCAGGACACAACCATTCCCATTTGTGGATTTTTGGATAGGTAGGGCCCCTAGGGTGTGGGGTTCTGTTTCTGACACTCCATCAAGGCAAGTTCATACTTTCTCCCTTTTTCCCTCTTCTCCATTTCCTTATCTCTCAGTTCCAGGGCAGCTTTTTGCCTGGCTGTTTTTGCCTCCATTTCTTTGGCTTGTAGTCCCATGGTCTGCTTCTGGGCTTCCATGCCTTCTGGTGTGCTGCTTCTTGTCTGACATTTTCTGCTTATCTGGCATTCTCTGCTTCCAGCAATTCCATACATCTCTTGTATTCTTTTTTGTTTTCTGCTGCCTGCAATCTGCAGAGCTCCAATTTTGCAACCGTTTCACTCATCTTGCTGTTTTCTGTTCCTACTTCCTTGAACCAAAATAAGCAAACAGAAAATAACAAACCGATAAACACTTTGTCTGTTCTCTAGCCAACACACTTAAAATCACCACCAGTGTCTCGGAGCAACAAGCTGTGCATATGACTCTGCTCGTTGTGCCACTGTGATAGTTTGCCTTCCATTCTGGGGTACCACTGAGCCTGCCCGTTCCACCAGCCTAGGCTCCCTCACCCTGTCCTGCTCAACCTCCTCTAGCACACATACAGGGATACACCCAGCTGCAGAAAGATATGGACACTGAAATCAGCTCTGCATGGGAAGACTCAACTAGGGGATTGCTCAGCACTCAAGTGCACTCCCCCTCTGGGGTGCAAACCCAAAATTGTATGGTTTTGCACTGTACAGAAAAACTGTACAGCATAAGTTCATGAAATTTGGTCCTCCCTCAATGTGGAGGAAGATATGCACAGCTCCCCCCCCACCCAACCCCCCGTAATGAATTTCACAAACTGGTTTTGTGGAAAAAAAACAAACAAGAGGAACAAAAACAAGTTTATTAACTACAAATGATAGATTTTAAGTGATTATAACAGATAGCAAACAGATCAAAGTAGATTACCTTAGTAAATAAACAAAACCCGCAAACTGATCTTAACACACTAGATAGGTAGGATATAAATTAGCAAATTCTCACCCTAAGCGATAAACAGGCTGGCAGATTCTTAAAGCACAAGCTGCCTTAGCTTTCCCAGGTTTTCATACACAGGCTAAAAGATTCTTCTAACCTGGGACCATCACTTCCCACAGTTCAGTCCTTGCCCCTCAGGTGTTTCCAGGTGTTGTTGATGCAGGGAGAGTGAGGTACCCCAATGATGTCATTGTTCCCCTTTTATATCTTCTTCCCACTTGCTGGAAAGCTCTTTCACTGTGACCTGGGTCAAACAGTTCCCATTGTGTAGTGCTAGCTCTGAGAGGTTTCTATTGTACACAATTCCTGGGGTAATCCTCGTGCTTGTGTGAATTCCCTCAATAAGCCCTTAACATTGTTTGGCCTTTTTACTGTTGTACCTGAAAGGCAGCTTGTGGGTTCTCTCAACCACTCAACATGTTTCAGTAGTACAGACATAGTCCAACTTCACATATGACGATAGCACATGCAATCCAACGAGATATTAAGATCTAGCAGTTCAAGACTTTTAGAATGATACCTCACAAGACATACTTTGTACAAAACTTATCCTAATTACATGACAGTGGTGAATACTGGGCTGTCAGGGTGTCACAGTTCCCCCCTTAGATTACTGACGGAGGGTTAGTCACAGACTAATGCGAAGGCAGTGGGCCCAATTTCCTCTTTCCTAGACAGGGCATCATCTGCTACCATGTTCTCCCTTCCCTTTTGTGTGCACAATCTCCATGTCAAATTCTTGCAGGATTAGGCTCCAGCATCCACCTTTGGATGCAACATTTCTGGTTTTGTAGGAGTGGAAAATGCCTCTTCCTCATTTATAATAGGAAGCATCTTAAGTGGAGATAGCCTTTTAGGACTTTAAAAGTCCTAGAATTTAGGACCTCCCAATGTGAGAGTTGGTATCATTGCTCATTAGAGCAATTTAGCTTACTGAAGTTATACACTGATTTAAGTGTACCCACACAAGGGTACACTTTCGTATGTACATGAAGCTTTTGTATGTACATCAGGTAAATCACAGTACATGGGTCACACCAACAGCGCGCATACAGAATGCCTGTTCCATTTTCAATTCCCATCCTGTGAACACATGGCAGTAGTTTGCTGCAAGCTGAGCACGTAGCATGTTCTGGGGGTAGCCCCTGGCCCTTTGCTTCAACTCTGAGCAGCTTGCATCCTGGGATTGGTTTTGCCGAGAATTGTGGCAAGCCAGGTGAGTTTAAATTAAATTTAAAAATCCCATGATTCCCCCACGTCTTCTTTCTGGGCTGGCTCGTGCTATTTTTGGATTGCTGTTGATCAGGATGAGTGGGAGGCTGAAGTGCGGAGACTTGTTCAGAGGCTTGAGCAGCCAGCAAGGCATCCCATAGAGAACACAAACGTGAGGGAAAGCTGTAAGGGATGTCAATTATTTGTATGTTGAGTCCCATTGCTGAACCTGTTAGCCAGTAGGGGTTGTGTGGGGGTGGTTGAAGTTCAGCATTCCCTATGTGCTTTTGCAAAACCCATGCATTATTTTCTTTGTTTCAAGGATTTTATATATTCACTGCAATGTAAACAGTTTCTTTTATGAAACAAAAAAAAAGTTGTAATGAAACCAACGGAAAAAATCATCTCTCTGAATTTGGATATACATTAAATTAACCAAGCTACAATATAAACTATGCACAAATCTTTAATGAATGGAACAGTGCAAACAGAATTGAAAGTGCAACAGTAAAAATATTTCAAATACAACAATTTTGGGAGGGGGTTAAAGTTACAGGTGAATATAAACCTTGTCCTCAAGGTTTTGGGGCTGAGTGCCGCAGATCAAAAATCTCAGGGGCATTGCAGGCCACAAAACAGCTGGATTCCCAGAGGCAAGTATTCTTTGTGCCAAGCTTGGATCTGGGAGATGAACGGGAGCTGCTGGGAGTACTGCTGCGGGGATGTGATGGTTAGGAGTTCCTGCTGGTCCCAGTAGCCAGCACTGTCCAGGGGATGAAGGACATGGCTGGATCCCAAATTATGGGATTGCAGGGCCTATTGGCCTAGCAAGGATTTCTTTTGCAGGAGGGCATTCTGGCTCAGCACAATGTCCATGAGTTGCCTCTACATCTCTCAGTCTTTTTCCATGCTCTCCTGTGTCATGGCGATGCTGTCCTTAGCCACAGTCAGTTTTCCTGGCTACTATGACACAGTCCTTGGCCATTGCCATGATCTCCTGGGACAGTTACATTTCTTTCTCTCTCTTGGTCATCAGGTACAGCTTCCACCTGTCAGCCAGCCTGGCTTTCCTCCATGACTCAGGCATGAGTTCTGTAAACTTGTCCTCCTAAGTCTTCCTTTTCCGCCACCCTCACCTTCAGGTTGACCAGCCTGTCAGCAATAAATAGAGGCCCTGTCTTTGATGGTACGGCTGTTGCAAGTGCTGGGGCTATGGGACTAGGGGGGAAAAAAGCATCAGTCACTTATTGCTCATATTCCACATAAATCATAGGCATTTTTTTAAGTATGTATGCATATGTACTTTACCTCCCTGAGACTCTTCCCATTCTTTGGGGGAAGCTCAGAGATCGTAAGTGGTCTGCATATATGAAGGATGCTGGGTGCATTTGGATTCCAGTGTATTGTATCTGCTTTCATGTTGCTAAGGGTGGTTGGGGTGGTCAGACCTATGTTCCAGATTTGCTTTATCAGTTTGATCTGCAAAGCACTGTGGTATAGCCATTGGAGGCATGCAGAAATTGGTGAGCAGCTACTCTGTGCATATGAACAAATTATCAAACTAATACAATTCAAAAGAAACCTTCTTCACTTTGTAAGAGGACCCGAGTTCCTGATAAATGAGGAGTTAATGCACAGGTATGGGATGTGTCACATGTACACAAATGTTTTCAAATGGGATTAACTCAATTTGATCCAGTTTAAAATTCCCATGTACACAAGCCCATAGTGTTTATGGAAAGGAGGAAGGAACACTGTGCCCAAGTAACACAAGCTGTAACTCTTTTGCTGATCCATTGCAGTGGGAACATTAAGGTCTTTCAAACTTATTTTGGATTCTGTTCCTGTGCTAGTCAGACCCTTCTATTATGGTTATAAAACGAATCCTTAATACCTACTCCCCCCGGAGAAGAATCTGTTATTTAAATATAAATTGATAAGCCACTTACATGTCAACTGAATATACAGGAAGGTGGATAAAACATTCTGCCCCCCAGATTATCACAGTTGCACACAGAGCGATGCAGCACGAGGCAAATCCTCTCTTCATTCTGCAACAGCTAAGCAAGCCAGAGATACCTCTTTTGAAAGTAAGTGCAGAGAAGCTGCAGAGGGTTGGAGGGCGATGTTGATGCAAAGAGAGACTCAGGCAGCCAGGACTCCTTGCCTTGCTCTATGGGAGGGAGAGGGGTCAAGCACTTGCAACGAGGACTCCTGCGTTGTTTCAAGCACTGTGAGGAAGGGTTGTAGACAGCATTCCTGAGTTATCAGCCCAGTTAGCGTACAGAGGGGGAGCAGGAAGGAAAGTGCCTTTACAGCATAGAGACCGTTAGGATTCCTTGATTCTATCCTTCCTCAACACACAGACTAACCGTCTGCTGCCTTCTCCTTACCCCGCAAGATGTGGTGCACCCTTAGGCTGCTGTATTTTGATATTCCCTATTGTATGTATCATAAGCATAAGACAGGGAAGTGTTTGACTCACTCCCCCTGTCCCCCGCCCATTCCAGAAAGAAAGCGAAACCAGCTTGTTTGTCACAAAACAGAGCAATTTAAACGTATTTCTGCACTTCTGGAGAAAAACAGAGCAGGCACTTTTGTTTGTTCAACTCATCAATTTGGTGAACTGGTAATTTTTTGGTGATAGCAATATTTTTAGATCTAGAATTGGATTTTATAGGAAACTGCCTTCCACACCTCGTCACCTATTTATTTATGAGCTGTTAATTTTTTTAAGCATCTGTATTAATTCATGGAAACAGCAGTCACAGATAAAGATGCGGTCATTCCTTTTACAATCCTATATTTTTTGTTAAATTATATTAAAACTCACATCCAGCAGATATGTTCTCCCAGGTAACATGGGGGAAGAGATTACAGGAACCCCTTTCCCCTCTTCATCCATAATAGGATATCTCGGGTAAAAAACACATTGGTTAATTCATTTTAATTAGCAAGCTACCTATATTTCACTTGCTATTGTTGGAGTCAGATTGCTTAGCTAGAGTATGGTACATTTTGGTTGGGTTAGTCTTGAAAACACTCATTTCACCTTGACATTTCCATTTATAAACCTAGGTGCTTTTGAAAATCCCACCCTATGTGTTAGACACCTAACTTGCTTGGACCCTTTTGATAACTCCACCCTAAATATTTATCCTGGTATTTACTGGCACTGGCATCTTTGACATCATTGGTCACTAATCACATTTATTATTTAAAAACAAAAATCATCATCATCATGACACACTTTTGTGGTTTCAACCTATCAACAAAACCTCTTCAAACTGACTTTTCACCGTCAAGGGGTCTGCGTCTTAAATGCTTTAAATACTCTTAATTCTCCATATAGTTTCTCAGACTTAATCCTTTCCTTTCTACAAACCCAGTTTCTAATCAGGAAAATTTGAGATATTATGGAATTAATTAGTAGGTATTGTATCAACGATGACAACATTAAACCATCATTCTATAGATCACTACACATAAGATCTGGAAAAAAAAGGAAGTTCCTCCCTTACAAATACAACAGGAGTTTAGTGGGTTCTCAAACTAAAATCTCATTTCCTAGAGTGTATGGATGAGTGGCCTATCATCCACTTATAATAATGAATTCTGCAGAGGATGTAGATTTTGAACTTCTATTTGTTCTCATAATGCAAAAAGTAGGGGACATTCAATAAAATGAAAGAAGTGGCAAATAAATAGATTTTTTCAAACAATGAACAATTAATCTGTGGGACTCAGTTGCACAAGACTTCACTGAGGCCAGGGGCCTTTCAGGATTCAAACACAGGACAAGATAAATTAATAAGAATATCCACTGTTAGAAAAGTAAATATTAAAAAAAAAATCCAAACAAACCCAAGAGCTTTGGAAGGGACATAAACCTTTATGTTTTGGGATATAAGCCAATCTCTAAATATTTGGGGTTTGGAGAAAATTTGCCCTGGGTGAAGCATATCCCATAATTATCTACTGAAAGGTTTTTTTAAAACCTTGAAGCAGCTGGTGTTGGCCACTGTCAGACAGGATACTGGACTAGATGAAACATGGCAGGTCAGATCAGGTATGACAATTACTATGTTCCTGGTCTAATTAATTGCACAGATGTCACCATCACACTTTCTACTGATCTACTTTTTTAAAAAAAACCTTTTTACTTGTACCTGCTTTGACTTGATTCTCAAAGTCTTCAGCGCCTCTCGCAGCATCCATCAGAAAACATTTCCATACTTGACTCAGCTTATGGGACAGGACCTCATGGTCTATGTCCTTTTAGGTGAGAACCCAAGGTGGAGTTTCTCTGAATATTTCCCAGAATAGTCCAAGACAAGATTTATTGAGAACAGAAAGAAAATCATTCAAACAAAAGCAGTGGTTTTGTATGACATAGCTTGTCTTACACTCTGAAAAGTTAAGCCAGCTAGGTACACAAAAATGGTTCAGTGATAAATGGCACCACCTTCTATTTTATCACAGAGCTTTTTCCTCTCAGCCTGTCATTTTCTCAGACAACAGCTCACACACACTTTCTTGTTGCTTTGTCCCAGGGTCCTCATGGCCCTTCTTCAATTTCTTGGTCATTTGCACCTTTCACATTCCTTTGATATCCCAGAGCTGCTATAATACTGAGACACAGTTCACAGAACTGTTTCCCCAGATGTCCTGGATGTGGACCTCAGCACCACCTCATATGCAAAATTCATTGTATATTTTGAAGTTTTCTTATGCTTATTGGCCCAGTTAAACCATTTTTGGGGAGTGGATTTCCCCATTTTCTTACTTTTCAAATGATTCACAGAAGGCATACGCACACCATAGGACGACTTTCAGTCCACAATTGCCTCTGTCCTCCCCTGTCCCTCACCCTGATTGCCTTAACTAAACTTGCTAACTTTGAAACCAAGTCACTCTCTTGAAGAGGTAGGTTGTATTTTCCCCCCTACTACGAATGCCTCTTCTAAAAACTTGTACTTCTAGAACTTTTAATTCAGGAAAGTCCCTACAGTCTGCTTTATACAGGAGGGCAGACTAGTTGATCACGCTTGTCCCTTCTGACCTTGCAATCTATGAATCTAGACTTTATGAAATGTAGATAGACATATCAAATCTCCCATTCCACTTACATATCATTTTACACTTGAAAGATTAGATGACAAATTCCCCTTCTTTATTATGAAAAGTTTATTAATGTTAAGCTACATTTGATTGGTTTCTTTACTTTCATTCTATATGTGCAGCTGCACAGTATTAACCACTGCAAATATAGTTGCACAAAAAGACATGAATGGCTGTCTTTCAGATACGCCTTTAATTTACATTATATTTACAGAGCAATAAAAATAAAAATAAAATTAAGACGTTATAAAAACTTGGAGGTTCATCAGGTCAAACATTGAAGGGTTTATCCTCAGGAAACAATATCATTGTTGCCAGCAGGAAGCTAAACTGCAAGTATTAGTAGGACCATTCAATGCATCAGATTACGACATTCCACTTTCTCATGGACACTTAAAAAAACCAATTGGAATACGTGACTTATGGAAAGGGCTAGTGCTAACTTCTTAGCAATGTACTTCTAAGGTTTATGATATATGAGCATTGGTGACTGACCTGATCTTTATTTTTGAAGGGGTAAAGGGAGCAAGTTATGCAGTATCCCTATTTACTTATACTTAGAGATACTTGCTGAGATTAAACCAAGCTATGTGGTAACAACATAGATATTACCAGTTCACAGTTCTGTATTGTGTGCACTAAGTATATCAACATTATCCTTCCCAAACTACTATGTCCCCTGTGAATATCTAATGTGTGTAAAAGGTATACTGTATCCAAGAGATTAGAACAACAATTTCAAACTACCTTCAGTAAATTTCAGGGATAAACTAAGATAACTAACTCCATGAATATTGCTTTTAAATAGGATGGGACCTCACCTCTGGAATGGGCATACATATTTGTTCTCAAGGTTTCGGTAAATTGTTTAATAAAATATAAAATACATTTTAAAGTACGTCAACTTTTGTCGTGAAGCTGCACAAAATTAATGGATGGATTTCGTGACAAGCATTACATGAACTGTAGACATAAAACGGGACTTTACCTAGGGATGCACTCCTCCCCAACATTACATGTGAATGAAAATCTTATACCATGCAAAGTACGTGGTAGGCAATTAGGTGCTAATTCAGCAAACAGATAGGCACATACTTAATTTTACGCTTGTGATTAGTCCTATGGACTTCAAAGGAAACGTTCATGCAAGTAAAGTAATGGTTAAAAGAATCAGGCCTTTAAACAGTAAATAACTTACGGAAGGTAGAGAAAGCCAAAGGGAGAGTACTTGCACTTTGACCATTATAAAAGAATACTTGGGTAGAAGATAGGAGTGATAGGGAGAAATTAATTGTACAACAGACCCCTCACACTCGGCTCATTTTTGTTAAATGACGAAGATGACTAGGGCAGGCCCAAAGGTCTTCCATAACCATATAAAATCTCAGATATGAAGACAATTGAAGGGGACATATTTCTCCAGAGACAGTATGCGAGGGACATTTTCGTGAAGTTATCAGAACAAGCTACCACTGAAGGGGACAAATAGGCAGCAACTGTTGTCCTTGTGTCCACATTACTGAAAATGTCTAGCCTTTCTAGCCAGCCAGCACTGCCACCACTCTTACCAGACAGACACTGCTAGTCTCATTCTTTCCTCTAGGAAACTTACATTGTATAACTGTTGCTCTAAACGCATAGCATTAAAATAAAGAGGAAAGGCACTTTGATGAAGAAAGGGAAATGAAAGGTGGAAAAGATTACAGCTCCAGAGGCACTTCGGGGCAATTGCCTCTGGTGTTAGGCCTGAGAAGAGAGAGTTAGAATTCTTCCCCCCTCTCCTGCCCCATTCTACTCAACATTTTCAAGTCCATTCTTTGTAAAGTCCTAAACAGTCCATTTATGTCCCCAGATGGCTAAATGGGATATTTAATAAATTTTATTTTCTGTTTAGTCAAAGTTAATCAGTACATATCCCACAGGGGAAAAAATAACTATACATTTTGTTCTGTTAATAGTCTCAACTTCATCAATCATGTAACTGATGCACATAATTCCAAGACAATGGATTTAAAGAAATATAAATCTTGGCAGTCTGTGAAAGGGAAAAAGTTACAAGAGGCAATTTTGTAATGTAAAAAGATAAGTCAGCAATATATCCATTACTTTGCAACCCTTCCCTCAGACACACCAACTTACCACCACCCACTGTTTTAATATGGTTTTGGAACAAGTAAATCTTCCTACCTGAAAAAAAAAACAAACCCAACAATGTTTGATGCGTTCAGGTCATTCAGCTAGAGTGCAGTTTCTGGGTTTATAATTGTTCAGCATTGCAAAGTTCACAGAAATAATGTGCACATTCTTAAAGATGTCAATACCACTAAACATATGTGACAGAGGGATCCGTGAACTGGAAAACTTCCTGATCGTACAAGTCTTCTGGTAGCTCTTCTTCTCCATCAGCAAAAAATGTGGGGAATGGAGGATTTTTATTGCAGTCTCGGTAAGTCGGTAAATTTGTATCTCTGACCTAGAATGAAAAAAGGTTTAATAAATCAAACCGATGATTCACAGATAGGAATATATTTAAACCCCAGGAAATCACTCTTTTTCTATGCATGAGGAAAACAGCATTCAATTACACTTATTTTTCTAAAGAATTCCATGTCTGGACATTAGTTAAATTAATGACCATATCAGCTCATGAATCTAATATTTTGTGCTTGAGTCATTAGACTTTAAAAACTTAATAATTCAACCTTTGTACCGTGCTATGGGATGAATCAAAGTCAACCACTAAGAAATCAGAGTAAAAAATGACACCTACCATACAACACTTTTAAGTCGATAGTCTGCATATTTTTAACTACTATTAATGTAAGTAAAATCTAAGATTAATCTAACAAAGATTAGAGAACTAGGTCTGTTCACTTCTGAACCTGGTAGCATTTTATGTACAAGAGTTTCATGTTTTGCTTCATTTAGAAAATTTCCCTACTGAACCTGTGAATTTTTTGACTGAGCAACAAAGAATTTTTTTTTTTAAATGGGAAGATGTAATTGTAAAAGTACAAAAGGATGAGAGAGAGATGAAACTACTCCATTCATTTTTTTTTTAAACTGACCAGATTTTAAGTTGACTGTGTCCCGAGAAGTGAAGTACGACTGTACTTACAATTTCAGAAACTCAAGCGCTAGACATGGAGTTTAACATTTTCCTACTTATCTAAACATATTTCTTTATAAAAATAATAGAAAGTCACATGAATTTTAGGAATTGGGTTTAATATGGGTCACCAGTTTGCATTCCTCATTAACCTTTGTACAACCAAAATACTAGTCTGAAACTGTATTTACCAAAAGCTGATTAAATTGTAATATCATTTAGATTTTTATATTGGATACACAAAATGCTTGCTATAAGAAGATATTAAAACTTAATTAAAAGCTATCACCATCAATTCTTCCTGACTTAGAAAAAACTTAATGTCTGTTGTATTTAAAATACAGTAGTTTAGTAACAAAGAAAGTACAAACAGATTGCTATTTCATATAAGAATTTATGGTAAATACCTATATAATCAAAAGAACACAAGAAGCTATGTCTTTTCGACTGTTGCTCTTCAGTATCTAAGAAGTATTTGGTTACTTTATATCTCCCCGCACTCTCTCTCTCACACACACAATTTTGGCAACTCATATGAACTGTATGCTCATATGCAAATGACCAGCTACACACAACTCCCTATTTGCATGTGCAAATCTGGTCATTATGCATGAATTCACAATACTTCTCTGAGCAAACTAGGAAGACACTTGCACACAGAATCATAGAAATGTAGGACTGGAAGGGACCTGAGAGGTCATCTAGTCCAGTCCCCTGCATTCATGGTAGGACTAAGTATTATCTCTAGACCAGGGGTCCTCAACCTTTTTCTTGCTGAGGCCCCTCTCAACATGCTATAAAAACTCCAGGGCCTAGCGGGTGTGTGGGGGAACTCTGGGCTCCAGGCTGGGGGGGGACGACCCTTGGGGATAGGTGTAGTTAGACTTCTTTTTTTTTTGTGGGGGGGGGGAGGGGAAGAGGGGGCTCAGCCAGCTCCACACAGCGGGGTCCAGGGAGGGAATGCTACCTCCACCCCCTGACTCACCTCAGCAGGCCACCCACTTGCCTGAGTTGTGGAGGGATGCAACCAAAAAATATAACAAAGCAGGGACTCAGCTCAAAAAGTTTGAAAACCACTCAGGGTACAGGCAGAGGGTAGCTAGGGGCTATGTGCGGGCAGGGGGTAGCTAGGGAATGCATGGGGGAGGGGTGGTAGGTCAGGGTGCCAGCAGGGGGTACCTAGGGACTGTGTGCGGGGAGGGGAGAACAATTTTTCCTCCCTCCTAACAATCTTTTATATACTCTTGAAAACTGTTACGTCAACTCACCTCCTGAGTAAACACACACAATTTTTTCAATCTTCTCTCAGCAAATGGAGGGTGGGGGGGAGGAGGGACAGCTCAGCGGTTTGAGCATTGGCCTGCTAAACCCAAAGTAGTGAGTTCAATCCTTGAGGGGGCCATTTGGGATCTGGGGCAAAAATTGGGGATTGGTCCTGCTTTGAGCAGGGGGTTGGACTAGATGACCTCCTCAGGTCCCTTCCAACCCTGATATTCTATGAGCATGCTTTCTAGACCTTTAATCATTTTTGTTGCTCTCCTCTGGATTTTCTCCAGTTTGTCCACCTCTTTCCTGAAACGTGGTGCCCAGAACTGGACACAATACTCCAGCTGCGGCCTAATCAGCACGGAGTAGGTTTTTTGAATATGTGCAGTTGAAAAAATAAATAAATAAATAAAATGCTCTTTATGTTTCAGAGCAACAAGAATTCATTTATGAAATGGATCTAATCATACAGCATTCTGGAAGTTCCTAACAAGAGACTATCCTCTAACTCAAGTGTCACTTATATTCAGGACTCTTAAAAAATTATGCACTTTTGCAAATTGTGCTTTTCATTCCTTCATGTGTTTGATTTAATTACTTTTATGCCCCACTTATCTTTCTTAGATGAGACACAAGTCAGATTATTTATGACATCTTGTGACAATATCTGCAATCCGACGTGAATCTGGTGAAAACTAAACTTGGGCCATGATACTGCTAAGGCTTACAAATGAGTTTAATTTTATGCAGTGAAAGCAATCCCATTGTCTTCAATGGAGCTACCTGAAGTGTGTGAAGTAAAGCACAAACATAAGTCCTTGCAGAAGCAGGACCCAGGTTTATAGAACATAAAACTTTAAGAAACAGTAAATTTTCAAGAAATCTATTGCTACAGTGAAAGTAGCATACTGACCTTTTTCTACTGACCTTTCTACATGTGAAAAAATTTTAAATTTAGCCTTGCAAATCCAATCTTTGAGGAAAATAAGTAGGTAGAATTATCAGTAGAAAAATATTTTCCTCATGCCCATAGGTTGTATGAGGTAGATGATAAAGGCCTGGTATCTGCAGAAAAAGGAACGACCCACTGAAGGGCAATGAAATCTCATTTAAAACTAACCTCACCATTTCTATATTACTATATATGGAGTTCTTTCTGAAAGCTATAATAATCCCCTTCATCTACTGAATTTAACTATATTCAGAAGTAACATATTACAACAGAGATAAATATGCTCTGCAGAGACAGGAAATTTGTTTTTTTTATTACCCACTTTTATAACAGATCATGCAGTAAGTTTAGTAATTGAAAGACTGGTCTCACTTGATTGGAAAACACATACAATGGAACCAGTTGTTTATGGCAGAAATTGAACAGAACAAAAGACAGGCCTGAACAATCCGATACCAGCTGACAATTCAGTTCTGATAGGAAGACAGTACTTTACTCAGAATACTTGATAGTACTTTAGCCTCCCCACAGAGTCCTACAGAGATATCAGGGTGGATAAAAACAGATTTAAAAAGTATAGTAAACAAAAAAATATTAAGCAGTTCATATTTGCTGCCAATATTTTAAGAAAGTCACTCCACTAAACTTATGGAATTCATTGGTTAAGCATGTGGAACCAGAGCTTCTGAAGTGCTAAAGCAGCTTTGAACAGCAGTAGCTTCTTCTGAAAGTACAGAGAGAATATTTTCATTTTAGTTTATTCAACTAGTTCAGTTCAACTACTAGTTCACCCAAGTTGAGAAACACATTGAGAGGTGAAAAAGCAGAAAAACCAGTTTTCCACTTCTAATCTAATCTAATCTAATCTAATCAGGAAAACTACGTGTGAAAGAATGAGATCTACTAGTTCTAAAATCTTGAAGGACAAGGTAACCAGAAAGTTAAATTCACCAACTACAGATATTTCCTTTGTTTAGTAAGTTAGTTTTAAATGAAAAACATGTTTTGATAAACTTTTCTTTAATGTAACCAGCACATTTAAGGTCGTTTTAGTTAACAATTTTAAAATGATGTTTTTGTGCATTTAATTGAATTCCAATTTCCAAAGGCACCCTGACACAAATCACAAGTAAAAAACAAAATATAGTAAATAAGAAATGCATCTTTTGCCATTTTCTAAAATGAAAAAAATGTAAAAATTAAGAATCTGAATAAATGCATATTAAGCTATATAATTGCTTAAATGTGTAAGAATATAACAGTTTATCCTCCTGATTAGCAAAATGTAATGCCAAATGGCACCAACCAATTTAGGAAAATAACTAAAAAGTACAAATGCCAAGTTAAGATTACAATAGATAATTTAAATCGAGGCTTCCTATTTGCTAATTTAAATTACGATTTAAATCAATCCACCCTGACAGATATACATTTTGGGACCACACCATTGCTAAAGGCTTGTCTACATGGCAAATGATTTGCTGGTATAGCTACACCAGCAGGATCCCCTAGTGTAGGTGCACCATTAGCAGACAGGAGGAGTTTGATAGCATACTAACACCATCTCCATGAACTACATTACCTATGTTGACAGAAGTGCTGCTCTCTCAGCACAGTTGGATTTAAACTGGGTTTTTTTCTAGCACAGCTAAGTCCCCTGGGAGGGGAGAAAGTAGGTGTGATTTCTCCCCACCCACCTTTCCACCCACTCCTAGTTTACCTAAGTATGATGGCAAAACTTTATAGTGTGAACTAAGCTTTAGATTTAACATCCTAGCTTCCTATGACAGAAACTGCAGGTTGGAATTTCAGCTGCGAAGTCTCAATAGCTTCCTAAATGAAACGAGTTTCCAGGCTTAAAACACAATTTTGCTTGCTAGAGTTAGAGGAGGAATTGGTTTCACATGTCAAAGTGGCTCTCAAATCCTTGAGACTATTTTAGGTGGTCTTGGAATTATGTGCTGGTTATGATACATGATGTTTTTGCACAATCTATTGCTCCAGGATGCCATATTTCTCTTCTGCCATATACTTATTAACGCTGTTCTCCAGTCATGCACAATCTCCACCATGTATCTACGACGACAGCTGCAGTGTGAGTGGACTATCATTTGCATTTTACGTCTTATGTCAAACAAATCTTTTA